AGAGAGACCCATATACATTGACCCAAGAAAAATTTGGAGACGGGGCCGGAAAATAAGTCAGAATTTGTGATTGGAAGAAAAGAGGAAAAGACAAGAGAGTCGAAACTAACACTACTAAAAAAATAAAAAATCATGATTTACCATGGAAAAATAGTCTAAAAATAACAAGTATTTTTTTTTTCTTCTAGAAAATGGATAATTCCTCCTGGAGTAAAGTTGACATTGATCATGTAATGTTTGAGTAACTGACACTCTTTGGGATTAGCAAAAAAATAATATAATTATTTCTCTCCTTAATTACTCCAAAGTGGAGATAAGGCAGAGTGGCAGACAGAGAGTGAAATGTTACCTGTTCTTAAGTGTGATAGATGGTGATGGAGAGGGATTTATAGTCCATCAAAAAATAAAATAAAATTATCATAAATAAAAGTTTGCAGTTATCCTTTGATTATTCAAAATTCAAAAAGTTTTAAATAACCAACTTGGTTGGTCAGATCGTAAGTTTAAATCCCCTCTCGAATATAAAATCAATCTGGTCAGCATTTTGTTTCTTAATTTGGTCAAACTGGTGCGAACAGGATTAGTCTGGATATGATACGAGTTTAAAGGTGTCTCTTACTGTTAATGACTGCTCATGACACCTCGGGGTCTGACAAAAAAATAAAAAGGTTTTAAATTAGATGGCAACAACATTTGAGTACAGTGATCTAGACAGTTTGAATGAAATTGTACGTTGATGATTACTTACCTACTCCAGCGATGATCTGAGGAAGCCAATGAAGAGAACAAATGGTGATAATTATCTATTGGAAAGTAAGAAATTAAATTTTTATAAGTGAATTTTAAATTTAAGAATTCTTTATAATTTTTGTCCAAGACAGAATAGATGAGGTAAATGGTAAGATGTGTCTCAACTGATTTACATGTCTCCAAATGTTTAAATACTAGTATGTTCGCAAGGGCACAATAGAATCAAATCCATACTTTGTGTTTTTTGTTTTTGTTTTTTTAATCATAGCGTGGATGTATATATGTAACAGTATTATATTATTATATATTTAATAAAATTATAATATAAAGGAGAAAATATAATTATATTAATTAAGTTAAGAAATACATTTACAATATGTTTGGTTTGTGGAATAGTTTAAAAAAAGAATAATACGGAGTATTATATTATTGAGTAATAGGTCTATTTTCTTTGGTTTTTTTTTTTTTTTTTTTTTTTTTTTGTAATAGAATGTCTAGTAAAGAGCTATTCCCTTAGTAAAGAGAATAACTATTCATAAAGAAAGTTTTGGTATTAACTATTCCAATCAAGAATAACAACTTTTTGTATAACAGCTTATAAATGACACCAATGATAATATAAATTAGATCGGAGTAGAGATTTGTGTTTACACTATGTAGAGAGTTGATTTTATTATTTGGTACAAATAAACACTATGAAGTCGAGTACAAAAGAGACCAAGAGCTCAAGTCTATGGATATTTATAGTAATACAAACTAGTATGAGTGCTAGAGTAAGATGATGAATAATGCGGAATTGGAAAGTTATTTATATTGGACTTCAAGTTGCCTATGATATAATGACACTTTACAAGTTGGCTGATGTAGCATCCTCTTATTGGTGGCAGACTAGTAGTGGTCGGTTGATGCGCTAGTCTACTAAACAACTACAATGGCGTATGATGCCGGTCTTCCAGGTCCAAGCCAACTAATTAAGTTGTTTATAGACCTATACAAGTTGTCTAGAACAATGGTTCTTTTGATGTGCTGAATTTCAGTTGATCCTTCAAAAACTAATCTTGTGTCCAAAAAATGAATGTGTTGCTCTAGTTATTGGGTTAGATAATTACTCTTGTTTCATTTTTAAAAAATAATTAAACATTATGATGAATTTAATTAATTCGGGTGGCTTGAATCAGTAAATTCGATAATTAAAGGATAAATAAGTGAATAAAAGATAATGGTAAACGACAAGAATGATATTGGAAAGACAAAGATATTGTATAATTAGAAGCAATGTAATGCTATTACAATAGATTTCAAGGGTCTTCACAAGACAATTACACTCCTTTATATACTAATAAGCCTCTTAATCGTCCCACAAAAAAAAAGGGGAAATTGCTTATAACAAACTTCACCAAATTCGGGTTACTTGACTGAGGCTGAGCCCAAGGCTCGGTCTTGGTGCCTGTGGCCGAGCACCGGGCTTGTCCTTGGTGCGCATGGCCGAGCACGGGGCTTGGCCTTGGCAGCCCGAGGGCCAAGGCCCAAGTTGAGGCTGAGCGCAGGGCTCGGCCTAAGTGCCCGAGGCCGAGCGCGAGCCTCAGCCTAAGCAGCCTGGGGTTGAGCCATGAGCTTGGTTTTTGCAGGCAAGGCTGAGCCCGGGACTCGACACCGAGGAATTCCAGTCCAACTGGACCTGTCTTGCTCTGCTCCATCGGATCGATTTGTTCTGGGTCCATATCTAATATGTCGATCACATTAAAATATGATTTCTTCCATTTACGAACCAAACAACATGGAATTCATATTGTACTTCACTCTTCATAGAATAACATATATATTGACATTCTTGATTTGAATCGGTCACAACTTAGTTTGATTTATTTTCTTATGGCCCTTTACCAAGTAAAGTCATAAGTTGGGCTCCGTCAAGAGTGTAACTTCAAGTACAATAGAAACTGCGACCGCTCCTTTAAATCAAAGAATAACACACACACAATACCAATATTTGGCAAATAAAACTTTTTCTTCAAATTTGAGAAATTCTACTTCTTTTTGAAAATAAATCCATGAACCAAATAAGAGAAAACAATATTTTTCTCAAATTTTAAAAGTTGACTTCTTTGAAAAATAGTTTCCATCCAACCAAACATGCATAATAGTGTTCTTCTCATTTTATTATTGTTTCAAAATTTATTTGTAAAATATACTTAATTTGATGGACCCGGGGAAAAACAAGAAAAGACTGGAGAATAAACAGCTGAGCTGCGAAAAAGGATAGGCAGATAGAACAATTAATATATACTTGTATATCATTAATTTCTAAAATATCTCATATATTGAAAATGTTGTATCGGTTCGAGTAGTATATATGCACATCTTGAATATGTCGAAACACTTTATGATTTGCTATATATTTATCCGCAATGTCCAAACTCCAAATAAAATTGTAATTTATGAGAAATTTATTTAGATATATAATTGCAATAATGTTATAAAATAATACGAAGTAACATAACAACTATATTTCATTATAAAAATGTCATGTTTCTTGGGTAGGTATAGAATGATTTTCGTACATAGATGATTATTTTTTTACAACACTTTCAATTCAACCTATCTCTCACACGATCTTTGTGAGGGTATTAGAACAACCACAATAGAGCATAATATGGGGTTAATATAAGAAAAAATAACTTGGGTGGGGTTATTTATATATGTGGGGTGGGATTAATTAGCAAATTATTTCTCCTGCAAATTTGGAAAGAATGGCTTGAAATTTTTTTTTAAAAAAAAAAGAAAAAGAAAAAGCAACACATGCTGTGCTCGTTCGTGCATAGCCTGTGGCCACACGAACACGTGCAGTGCACGCGTCAGGCCTGACGCGTCTCACGCTTCATTTTTTAATTTTTTTTTCTTAAAAATTTTAATTTTATTTTTTTTCTTTTTTTTTCTCTCCCCTCCCATCTTCTCTTTCCTAATCACTTTTATTATATCCCGTAATATTCTTAACTGATAATGATGCTTTTAAACAATACATATTCTTGGGATATTACTTTCTTAACATAGCAATCATTATACCATGGATCATGGTCCACCCACTGACATAATGTATGTACATTTTTAATATACCAAAGGTTCATTTTTTTGAAAATACATTATTTAAATACTGAATATTCATTATATTTGGTATTATCTGAAAATTCACTATTTGGCATACTACTAAATAATGAACCTTTGTTACCTTAGCTTAACAGTTAACATAGCACAAACATATTTACATATTATGGCCCAAAGAAGATGGTTTGGGCTGGCCCAATGATTCTCTAAATATAGCCATATAGGGCTTTTGGGCAATCATTATTACATGGACCATGATTCACACAATTGTGTGGATCATAAATAAAAAATACATTTTTAATATACTAAGGATATATTATTATATGTACGTAAGGTACATTTTTTGAATGTACATTTTTAATATACTAAGGGTACATTATTTTATATAATATACCTTTAGTATAAAAATAAAGTACCTACAGTATAAAAATAATGTACTTTTAATATATAAAAAATGTACCTAATATTCATGGTCCTTGTGTGGATCATGGTCCACACAATAATTTATCACTTTTGGGCTGGTTTCATCGCTTTTTTAGCATTGATTTTGATGGCAAATTATAATATGGACTATGGTCTTCATTATAATGTGGATTATTAATAAATGTTCATTTTTAATATATTAAAAATTTATTTTAAAGTAGTTTATAAATAAATGAACTAGAAATGTAATTTGCCCTGTCTTAAATGGGGATCACCAATCCCCGCTATATATATATATATGAATTAAGTTTTCAATTTTTTTTATTTAATTATTAAAAATTACACTAATTTAATATTTTGACTAGAGATAGACCGGGACAGGAAATCCCATTCCCACCTTATTTAATTATTAAAAGTTACACTAATGTTATATTACATCATTTTTGTAACCAAATAAGACCCGTGTTTATTTTAATTCTCTATTTTTTATTTTTCTAATTTACCATTCTCCCTTCTCTATTTTTAAATCGAAAAAAAATGTACAAGTAAATACATATTCTATTTTCTTTTCTTCAATTTTCTATTTTCTTAGAAAAAAATATCTTACATTAGTAAACAGAATTATTTCTTCAATTTTCTATTTTCTTAGGAAAAATAAAAAAATAAAAAAATAAAAAAAAATTCTTGCGTGAATTACAGAACCCATGAACCATGATCATGATGTCAAAGACGCGAAAGAATCGATGTTTTTATTTACTAATGAATTAGTAAGGCAAATGGAGCCATTTGTTCTCTAATTATACAATTGCAGGACATTATGGCATGTAATCAGAAGAACAAAGAGAATTACCCCACAACCATAGTTTCTGAGGTGATAACTGCCGACTCTACATTATAGAGTAAGCTCTGATGACCTCCACGATGGGTGCTCGGCACAATGGACACTTCCCTCCGCTTCCAACTAACTCACTCGCGCATTTTGAACAAGTGCACATGTGCCCGCATCTGCAAACCACGCAAATATTCACATGGAGAACGACGAATGTATGTGTGTGCACGTGCATTCGTGTAGATGTTTGAGCACAAGCATGCATGCACGTACATGTGTGGGCACGTGTGGGCACGTGTGGGCACGTGTGTGCATGCAGATGTTTGCGCATGGGGCATGCATGCGTGTGGATGTGTGGGCAAGCGCGTGGATGCATGTAGATCTGTATAGATACGCGCATGCATGTGTAGATGTTTGAGCACAGGCATGCATGTATGCGTGTACGAGCGTGTGCACGCGCATGTATGCGTGTACGAGTATGCGTAAACGTGTACAAGTTTGCGCATTTGCATGTATGTGTTTAGATGTGTGCATGTGCGCATGCATGTAGATGCAGTATTCCATTGAAGGGAAATATAGGCTTTGAGTAGTTTAGCCATATACCTGTAGAGCAGGGAATCAATCTGGCTATCACAACAGATACAGCAAGTACCCTTTCTCACATGGCCCCATTTCGAACCATCCATTGAGGCCTCTGTAGCCCCTGTTAAGCATTTTGCATCGCCCAAACACAATTAAAAGAAATACTGGTAAACCGAGGGGAGGGCAATTCTGATACTCATTTATAGCAGTAACACATTAAGTTTGGGAAAGCACAAACCTTGTCCACCGGCTGACCGGTTCAAAGCGGCTGAAACCTCCTGTCTGACCGAGCGCTGCAACTCCAGTTGCATATCCATGCACGCTTCCAACATTCTCTGCATGTTGTTCATACCTTGCTGCAGTTTAGCCATGTCTGCCCTCAGGTCGTTTATTGTCTCCCACTCCTGTTCCAGATAATCACGCACACACTCAATTCAAATTTCTAAAATCTAGCCATATAGGTCTCTAGAAGACTAGAAATAGCAAGCAAACAATATACAAAAGATAGTGGGGGCTTACAAGTTCGGAACGATGGACACTGTGACGGGCCCAACCAGAATGGTGCATATCCTGATGCCAAACTGGTTGCGGTGGAGGCACAGGAGGAGGTGGTAGTACAAGGGAAGGCCTACCGGTACCATTGTGCTGATCTTCGTTCTGCTCATTGCTCGGCTGGTTTTGATCCCGCTCTGGTGAGGCAGGGATGGGCAGGTCTCTGTGGAGGTCCCAATCAATAGGCCCACGGCTTTGCCTTTCTACATACGAATGAATTAATTGATCCAAACTCTCACGGAAGCCACTCCGCAGAAGATTGGAAACACTCCTCCTGCAATATGCAGGAAATTTCAACACGTATATATATTAGATAATAGCAAAATTCTCGGAATCACAATGTCGAAAGCCAGACTGATTGTATAGAGATTAGTCTTACCTGCTTAGAAGTTCCCTGAGTTCCATACTGTACACATTCTCGTCCTCAGGGGGATGGAATCGATTAAATCTCCTAAATGGGGCTGAGCGCCGCACTCTAGGAGGATCAGGAAGTCCCTCCTCAGTCCAATACTCTACAGCTTCTTGTGAACCATCCTCACGCCAAGCCTCTTGGGCTTCCGGCAACTGTTGTTCATCCCCAGCTGTCTCAAGGGGCCGAGTAGTTACTGAATTAACATTCAAAATCGTGCTTGTGTTTTCAACAGTCTCGTGAGTCCACCTAGCAGATTCATCAGAAGTCAAATCTTCCCGGTCCCCTCCATCAGATTCAGTGACCTGTTCTACCCATACCCTATCCGGATCACGAGCTGTTTGTTGACTTGGACTTTGATCGATACTAGTTGTACTAACATCAATGCTTTCTCTGCGTTCATGCAACCGATGAGTGTTACTCTCCTGTTCCCTAGGATGCAGATGCTCGAGATTTTCATTTTGAACCCGCAGTGAAGGATTTATACGATTCTGGTGATTTTGAGAATCATTGTTGGTACTATCGGATGGAGGTTCAGAGTTGCTGCTCACTTGACCACGAACAATGTTTTCTAGTCTAGAGCGGAATCCTTCCCTGTTTGAGACCAAAAAAAAAAGGTCATCAACTCATTTAATAGAATAAGTAAAAAGAAATTCCAGATAAAAAGCATAATTATCCAAATCATAGCATATTATCACATAGCCCTTAAAGCATCACGAGGCATTTGAAGCCATTACCCATTTTAACTTTCCATAATGCATGACAAAGCTCAAGCATTCTCATTTTAAAGTTGTAGATGTTGAGAAAGAAGATGTAGAAGAAGTTTTTATTACTTGCTTGTCTCAATGAGGAGACAATAGATAAATATATATACAGACTAAGAGACACAATCCTAATAGACACAACCCTACACAACTTCAACAGCTATATTTCTACAGACACAACTTTTGTGTTTCAACACTCCCCCTCAAGCTGGAGCATGTATATCATATGCACCAAGCTTGTTACAAATGTATTCAATCCTATGACTTCTTAAAGCTTTAGTAAATATATCAGCTAATTGATTATTTGAGCCTATAAAAGATGTAGTAATATCTCCAGAAGTAACTTTGTCTCGAACAAAATGGCAATCAATTTCAATGTGTTTCGTCCTTTCATGAAAAACTGGATTTGATGCAATATGCAAAGCTGCTTGGTTATCACAAATGAGCTTCATGGACTCCTTTGTACAAATCTGCAGTTCGGTAAGGAGGTTTTTCAACCACACAAGTTCACATGTTCCAACGGCCATAGATCGATATTCGGCTTCTGCACTTGATCGAGCAACAACATTTTGCTTTTTACTTTTCCAAGAGATTAAGTTGCCACCAAGAAAGATACAATATCCAGATGTTGATTTTCTATCCCATGCACCTGCCCAATCTGCATCTGTGTACCCAATAATTTCAAGGTTTCCATGGTCTTTGTATAACAAACCAGTGCCTGGAGATTTTTTAATATATCGTAAAATCCGAATGGCAGCTTCCCAATGACTTTCACGTGGAGATGCCAAGAACTGACTAACAACACTTACCGCAAAAGAGATATCAGGTCGAGTTACAGTTAAATAAAGTAATCTTCCAACCAATCGTCTATATTTTCCCGGGTCTTGGATAAGCTCCCCCTGGTCTGGTAGGAGTTTGATATTTGGATCCATAGGAGTGTCAAGAGGTTTGCAATTCATCATACCTGTGTCTTCTAGTATATCCAATGCATACTTTCTTTGTGATATGCAAATTCCTTGCTTGGATTGTGCTACTTCAATTCCCAGCTTTGGAAGTGGCTTTAAATCGAACAAACTCTTCATACTCAGCAGCGGAAATGGTTCGAGAATTTGGTTCCCCAGGTTGAGATTGAGCAACACTTGCTTGCGTACGTATCGGTCTCCCATGAAGTTTCCAACACTGATCTCGTGTGTGCCCAGTTCTATTACAATAATCACACACTCTAGTGTTTTTCTGTCCACCACGATTGTTAGTTCGTCCACGACCACCTTGTGTGACTAGAGCAGATTGTTCGGTAGTGGATGTGTGAGTACTCGGAATGGAGGTGACCTGCAAGAGCCGTTTGAACAACTCGGTGGTCCCCGGGACAATGTTGCTTCCAAGAACTTGATTCCGGATGCTTTCAAATTCTGGACCTAATTTGGTTAAGAGAAGTATGACAAAGAATTTCTCTCGTTGGGTAAGTTGCTCTGCGGGTGTACCACCAATAGGCATGAGTGTACCAAACTCAGCAATCAAACTTTGGGCTTTGCCAAGAAAAGTTTCCATATCAATACCATCTTTCTTCAAGTTAACCAAATTGTCAACAACATTATAGAATTGAGAGACATCATTAGTGTACAGAGATTGAGCTTGACTCCACACCCCGACACATGTCTTAAAGGGACGGAATAAAGGCAACAATTGTGGAGAAAGAGACTGCCAAAGGAGACTACAAAGTTGAGCATCTAACCTTTGCCAAACTGTTTTTTCTTTTTCCGGTATCATATCCACTTCTTTTTACAAGTGGTCAACAACACCTTGGCCCATAAACCATAATTCTACGGCATCCGACCAAGAGTGGTAATTTTGAGAACCACATAATCTTTCAAAAGTGATTACCGGGTTTCCAGACAGATTTGGCACATAAACAGAGCTCGAAGAAGTAGATAAAGTATTGGCAGGAGAAATAGTACCCGAATTAGCAGAATTTCCGTCGGAAGACATCGTGACCAAAAATAAATCTGATTGCACGGAAGGAAAGGAGGAGAGCCGACGATACGATCTGGAAAATCTCGCCGGAAAAGGCCGCCGGAGAAGGCCTCACGCGCCGGCGCGTGGTGTCGGAGCGCCGGCGACGCGTGGAGGCGCGTGGAGGAGATTCCGGCGACCGGAATTGATGGGTAATGGTCGCCGGAGGATGGGTAAGGCGGCTGTAGTACTAATTTGATAAAATATCTCACCATAATTTGAAAAATTAATTTCGAATGAACAGTAAATGTACTGTTCACCGGAAAAAAAATTTCAAATTTTGACTTTTGGCTCTTGATACCATGTTGAGAAAGAAGATGTAGAAGAAGTTTTTATTACTTGCTTGTCTCAATGAGGAGACAATAGATAAATATATATACAGACTAAGAGACACAATCCTAATAGACACAACCCTACACAACTTCAACAGCTATATTTCTACAGACACAACTTTTGTGTTTCAACAGTAGATACTAGATAAGATATTTAACTCGTTAAAAATACTTAACGATATATAAAAAAGATGAAAGGTATAAAACTTAATTGCAGCCCAAAGAACTAAAATCACCTAGCAAGACCATAATTTCATCAGAACTACCCAAAAAAATATACTCCGTATATAGTACAGAAGGGATTCACGCCCAGGCCATACATTTGAAAAAGGGCTTAGCTTACTACTAAAGCTAAACCCTGAATCCTCATTGATCAAGTCACATAGTACTGTTTAGAGTTATAATTGAAAATATTATAAATTAGCATCCCTCAATTGTAAGAGAGGACAACATTAAGATCTTCACACTTTACTCCCTTGTAATCTATCACAAGAAGAATGAGGCTTTTCAGATACATAAGACTAAAAAGTGTAACTTTCCAAAGCAAAAATGATCTAGTACGGAATCAACCACGAATAGCTAGCCCAAATACCTCAGCCCAGAGACAGTGTGTCGTTGCCTTAGCTGAACCAGTTCATTTGCTGCCACTGAAGGCGGTCTCTCCTCCTCAACAGGCATTTCATTTCGCAGGAATCTACCTCTGAGTAGTGACTGGAAAAAAATATACATAAAACATTTTATATATATATATATATATATATATATATATATATATATTAGTTAATACTTGTATGGTAAATAAGATGAAAAGCAAGATTTTCTGACTCTTCAACTTGTGAAAAACGAACTGAATCTAAAATTAAAATATTCTCTAGACGCTGCCAAAGGGTATTGAAATAGCCTTGCCATCCTACATTATGGTCAAGAATTCAATGCTCCTTTCTCGTCATTATATATCAGATAACAGAAAAGATATGTACAGAGTTTAAAATTTTCATTCATATGCTGAATATCAGTTAAACAACTCTAAGTTTAGATTTAGGGAAAAGAAATTGTAACTTTATATGATGGAACACACGAAGTCAAACTTAAAAAGCAATGGGATAAACTTTCAAGAACTGAGAATTTGAAGCATGTGAAGAATAAATTAGGGTTCATAATACAAAAATGCCAACTAACATATGAGATAGAAATAAATAGCTAGATGAGAATAAATGATAACTAACTTGAATGCGATTGCGGTGGGCAAAGTCAGAAACAGCTCGGTGCTCCGAAAGTCCCTGAAGTTCCCTTTGCCTTTCCCCTTCAATCCTCACAAGCAAGTCGAGTAGAGCCTGTCTTCCACGCAACCTCAGCATGTCCCTGCGAACATGCTCTGGCTGACCTTCCTCATGGTCGGCAATTGACCCCTCACGATCAGTGTCAGCACCGAGTCCATTGGTCTGTTCCTCCCTGCGGCCCCCATGAGATGCCCTTTGTTGACTGGTCATTTGCACCCACTCCCTCACAATTCTAACTCTTTCTCGCTCAGTTTCCCCAAGCCATTCCCCTCTTGGGCTACCATTCCTCTGGGCAACATTAGATGAAGTGTCTGCAATACCACTCTCCATCCACCCACGAACAATTTGCCTCACTCTCTCCCGCTCAACCTCACCTAGATCAGGAGATTCCTCCCGGCTAGAACTGTCATGCTCTATATTTTCATTCTGTTGTCCAATTGGATCGTGAGACCAAGTTCCATAGTCATTCTCACACTCAGTAGCATCTGTAAAGCTGCCCTGATTGTCACTTTCTCTGCTTTCAGACATATTCATACTAGAGATGTTTGTATCTGAATCCACACTCCTCTGATGTGTTAGTCTTTCCCTCACCCTCTCTCGGGCACGGTTCAACATATGTTCGTCCTCCAACTCCCTCCACATCCGCATAATAGTCGATGCCCGACTGCTTATTCTCTCAGCATCACCCTGTCGTCTTGAAGTAGGAGACTGTGATTCCCGCAAGAATGAAGAATCAAGCATAGAAACCGTGTGTAAACGGGTGAGTGCCATCAACTCAGACTCACGATTCCTCCTCTCCATTGTGGTAATCATCTCTTGAGCATGCCTAGCAGCCCACCTACTCAATATCCGCGAATGGCACCTCCTGGCTGCAGATGACTCTCCCACCTCACCCCCCGCTGCAGCAGACCTCCTCCTACTCACAAGCTGGTCACTCTCGTCATCCTCATCCTCCGTATCCCTCACAGAGCTGCATGACGTAAACGACATACAATCATCCAAATGTCCACGCATCAATTCCTCAAGCCCCCTCTCGAATTCAACACGAGCATCATCAGCCGTGCTCTCAGGCTTCTGCTGGAGCTGCTGCTGAACATCAGCCATTTCTTCAAGCCACTAACCCAGAACCTAACACCCACAGCACTGCCTAATCAAACAACCCTAAATTGCAGAAGAAGGAAAGCACATTCCCTAACAACTAAAATGGAGATTTTCCACACCTGACTCCATTAATTCCAAACAGAAAAAGCAAAATCAAACCTAACTCTACCTCTAATCCCACTTTAACATCCCCAAATCTCGTATAATTACAACAATAGCAGCGCTTTTTCGATACAATTGTTTCACTCAATAGATACATATCACCTGATCAAATCACATACAGAAAAACCTAAACTTCATCAATACAACCAAAATTCACACAAAAAACGAAGAAAATCAAATCTTTTTTTCGGAATTAACGCATTAAGATCAAGAAACTTTGATGGAAGGTGATTTACAAAGTGATCAAGTCAGAATCAACGGAGAAAAATCGAGTCCAAGATTAGATTATGAAATGAATGATGATTAAGCACGAAAACGTACCTCTAAAGTGTAATCTCTGTCACCAAACTAACTATATATATGTAAATATGGGTTTTGTGTTTGTTTGTATATATATGGAAAGAGAAAAGTGGGCAAACTTGACTGGCAGACGGAAAGAGAAAAGGAGAGATGAAGAGACAGTAGGCGATGCCAATTTATGAGCAAAGGGAGAAGAGTTTTTTGTTTCTAAGATAAACATAATTATCCCCAAAAAAGGACATTTGCCTTTGACCTTATTCAAATAATATAATTCATTATAAATTTTGTTTACATTACTTTACAACACATTATTTTTGTAGTTAATAGTACACGATATTGTCTTCTTTAATCACATAAATTACGGGTTGACCACTCTAAACATTTTCACAAATAGTAAGAATCGGATCTACTTAGAAGGTAAGTTGAAAAAAAGAATAAATCAATTTGAGAGTAGTTTGAGTTGAAAGTATGCTCATCCATACAAGTGTTTGTTTCCTTATAAAGATGTTGAATTGGGTTAAATTTTTATTATAGAAATTTTGTTTGTAGTTTAATCAACTTTTTTTAAATTAATTTGGGAAAAGGGTCAAATAGGCCCTCGAATTTTAGTTTAAAAGTCAATTAGGCCCCTAAACTTTTTTAAGGTGCAATTACACCTATCAACAATTCATTTAGGTGCAATGAAGCCCAAAAACAAGTTAATGACCTGTTATCACATGTCATTAGGGTTCAGGCCACCTTCCGACGAATTTTTTGGCAAAAAAAGTGACCAGCAACCGATCCAGATTTGTCAAAAATTTCGCCGGTCACTTTTTTATCCGAAATTTCGCCGGTCACTTTTTTTTTTTTTTTTTTTTGTCGAAAAATTCGCCAGAAGGTGGCCTGAACCTTAATGACCTGTGATAGCAGGTCATTAATTTGTTTTTGGGCTTCATTGCACTTAAATGAATTGTTGATGAGTATAATTGCACCTTTAAAAAGTGTAAGGACCTAATTGACTTTTAAGTTAAAGTTCGAGGGCCTATTTGACCCTTCCCCTATATTTTTGATATGTTTTCTCAAACAAGATGGATTATGGATATATGACCTAAAAAATAGCAAATAATGTTGTCATTATTATTTGACTAAAAGAATGAAAATCAAATCCAAGATTCAAAGTCATGGTTGATGAATGAGTGTCTTACAATTACTACTCGATTTTATGCATTGAGTAAATCTGGCGTTAGAAAGATGATGCGTGATGGGCTTGACCGAAAGAGTGTTGACAACAATCGAGCTCGTTATCTTTAAGTACGAGAGTTATGTTTCACCCACTCACCTCCATTTTGAAGCATTTTAACTTCTTAGATTACTATGAAAATGGGAATGTCATTTTCTCATACTTTTAACATACTTTTTTAGAATATTCTTATTTTTATTAGGTTGGTGGTCCATTCGAATAAAACTAGAAAATGATTCTTGAATATATATAATCATCATATTCATATCATCATCACTTGTAACTTGATTATTATAAGATGAAATCATGAGTAAATGCGATTACGATGCGATTTTGTGTATATGAATTACATGAATATATGTGTAATTTCATGAATTGTATTAGCGATAATGCTATTTTTCTATCTTGATTTTACCAAAAAATATTAGTCACCATTGGACATGGTAATAAATTATTTTTATTCATTAATTATTGTGAATTGACCGATCCCACCAACCTCAGAAGAAGAATCACTTGTAACTTGATTATTATAAAGATGAGATCATTAGTAAATGGATTACGATGCAATTTTGTGTATAGGAATTACATGAATATGTGTAATTTCATGAATTGTATTAGCGATAATGCTATTTTTCTATCTTGATTTCACCAAAAAATAATAGTCACTATTGGACATGGTAATAAATTCTTTTTATTCATTAATTATTGTGAATTGGCCGATCCCACCAACCTCAGAAGAAGAATCACTTATTAATTAAAAGCGAATTAATCAATTAAAATATCATTTTTTTTTTAAATCAAATGAAATATCAAAAATATAAATTTTTGCAAAATTTGTTGTGTATCTCACAACATTTTTTTTTCTTTGATACATTAAGTTTCTCAACTAAGGGAGAATAAAATAGATCTGCACACAATGGATCAAGCTCCACACTTTCGTCAACTTGAAAAGCTCAATCTCTAATCTGGGGAGGCTAATGCCCCAAACTCTAGTTCGGGAAACCCTATTTCTCACCCTGCCACTGAAATGTTAATTTTGGGTCAAATGATCAATCACTTGAACTCAACTCGGGTTTGAAATGTGTGGTTTGCAAGTTATTATACAAAAATAGAATTTACTCCGTGCACACCATGTTACTGGTTTCTTTTGTCACCCAAAAAAATTGCGTTAAATTTATAATTTTACAAATTGGCCAATATATGCAATGAATATGATATTACCTCTAGCAGACACTAGGAAGGTCAAAGTGCTGCCTAGCTACGATTTTACAAGGTCTTTGATTATTAAATTTTGTTCAATTTAATATCTAAACCTTAATTTTGTTCAATGTAATCTGTGTACTTTAGAATTAAGTACAATTGAGAACAATAATGAACATTGTTAAAATAATTGTTAGTGTTGTTGACGTAGAATTAACATAGTTATATTATCATGTTAGTTGATCAATGGTGTGACATGCCAACTCATATTTTATTTTGAACACTTGACATATTTCATAAATAGAATTACTTTCTAACACTTTATTAAATATATATTCATCTTATAAATTTATTTGCGAATATTAATTAAAGAACATTAAAAAAAGTGTAAAAATTTTATTTATATTAAAAAAAATCATAAAAATAAGAATAAATTGATATGTACAAATATTTTTAATTTATGTTGATAAAAATTAATACTGAAGAGTACACTTTTAATATTTCAATTTATTCTAGTATGTATCCTTTTTTAAAAAAAATTAACATTTTAATTTTTATTAAAATAAAAGAAATTAACATTAGAAATAAAGAAATAATTTTTTGTTAATGTTAAATATTTTTTAATAAATTAAGAAATATGTATTTTAATACAATTTTAAATTGTTAATTGTTAAAAAAAATGCATACTAGAATAAATTAAATGTTAAAAATTTACTCCTCATTATTAATTTTGATCAATATAAATTAAAATTTTGTTTACATATCAATTTATTTTGATTTTTATGAAACTTTTTAAACACAAGTAAATTTTTGTATTAATTCAATCTTTAATGCTCTGTATTTAATTTCTACAACAAAAACATTAAGATGAGTACTTGCCCACAACTTTATGAGAATGAGAAAAAAAAAATTGAAATTGCAAAATGTTGGGCGTCGGCTGAGTTGACCGAGTTCAGCCTACTTGATTCGAGACGTGACGTTGTGACTTACCATGGAGAGATGTGATTAAATGGTTAATGTTCACCTATTTATCACTAATTGATTTTAAGATATGACAACCAGATACCATAGAACTCTGTAGTTAAGCCTATACACACATGGGTGTGTGTGCACTTTGTAATTTTTGCCCATTGCACTTGTAAGTTGTAACATCTAAAAGTTTGTAAGAGAGCCGTTGATTATCGCAAATTGACATCTTGCATTAATCCGTACTTTTTACCTAAGGTCTTCTTCTCACCAGATCTAATATATATGTGTGTGTCGGGAGCCTGTCACAGAACTCTAGATACAAATAAGGCCTGATGTTTCAGTACGTTAGTCCATAATTTGAATTTACAACGCATTCAATAATTAAATGATCAAATTTATGTTTCAGTACGTTAGTCCATAAATTGAATTTACAACGCATTCAATAATTAAATGATCAAATTTGTAACATTTAAAGAGATACTAGATTTATAACTCGAATACAATACTTGAGAGAGCATTATTTATCCTAAATATAAATACAACTTAATAGGAATAAGAGTAGTTAGCGGTGATAGACCTAACTTCCTATTGTTCATGTGTTGGTACCCTTAAAGACAAGTGAATTGGGACAGACAGAATATAATGGTGTAGTCATCCGTTATATAATTTATAATTCCTAACATTTCTTCTTTTAAGATGCGCTATGAATAAAATCCGCCTTGTTATCCTAACTAGCAAGGAATCACAAAAAAATAAATTAATCTAGGTTGTTCATAGTTTACTACCTCAAATCAAGAAAATCAAAACACAGCTCGCATCATTCATAATATTTCTTCTTCTCCCAGAAGGTTGAATCCACAACCCCGACCCGACAGAGTATTTAGGAGGATGGTGGCTCAGTAAACGGGTCAAATGCCGGTACAGACAAGGGATCTGCCAACTTTGAGCATAATTCCCACACTGTCACTGTTAACATTGCTAAGGTTCGAACATTGGTCTCTTCTCTCAAATATTGTCTGCTAAACCATTGAGCTAAGTCCGTGCGGGTCATAATATTTCTTCTTCAACATTATGGAGTGTTGTATTCCGTACCTCGCATCATTCATTACTGCAACGATTTTCGCAAAAACCCATTACCCAGAAGCCAAGAAGAAGATGGTAATCATCTCCAGATAGATCTCACGGGGAAACAGACAAACAGATCACGTTGAAGTTGCATGGCATGCCGCAGCAACCAATTAACAGAAGACGATAGATAAGATGAGGAGAATCCTATGTTTCGATATGATATTCAAAGAAGATGATGAAAATAATATACAGGTTATGGGACCACGCAACATGCATGCATGGATATTCATAAACATATATGGCAGCAAATGTCTAGTTGTATTTCTTTTTTCTTTTTTGTTTGTTTTTATTTTAGTTATTGTACTATGGTATATCAAAAAAAAAGTAGTCAAACTAGCTATTTGATGAGCATTTATGTTTTAGTTGTTCTGTTATTGAGAGAGACAGAGAGTAGGGTCCAATTGTTTCAATCATAAATCAATATCATTGCCTCCTTCCCCCATCTGTTCCTTGGGTGCAAAAGGTAAAATCCCTTGCTCCGAGATCTTCACACTGTACTGAATTGTAATTGAGTTGAATCACAGTAACTCAACGACCCCTTAAGAGCATTTACATTAGTTGGGAAGAATATGGGGATAATGTAAGAGTGATTAGGAGAGAGAATGTGGGGAAGGGAGAAAAAAAAAAACCAAAATTAAAAAAAAAAAACGAAAAAAAAAAAGAACCTGTCAGGCGCGCCTGACGCGCCCACGGGCGGGCTGCTGTGCGCGAAACGCGCACAGCAGCCCCTTTTCTCTTTTCTTTCTCTTTCTTCTTTTTCTGCATTCTCCCCAATTTTGCAGGATGAATATCTCCACAATTATCCCCACCCCCCCCTTGTTATTATCCCCATTGAGAAGAATTAATACTGAAATCTCCCTATAATATGCACAAGTGTGGATGCTCTAAGTGGAAGGACTAATACCTGGTGCTGACAAGAGCCACCCAATAAGAGGGTGAAACTAATTCAGTTAAATCATAGTGACTCAACGACCCCTTAGGTGGAAGGACTAATACCTGGTGCCGACAAGAGCCACCCAATAAGAGGGTGAAACTCTCACACTGTGATTGTCGGGATCCAATCCTGCGTCCTTGAATGTAATCAGTTTCCCGTAAAACAACTTAGCTACCTGTGAGGGCATTATTACAAGTGAACTAACACAAAGTCTACCCTCCTAAAGTCTCTTATTACCTAACACAAAGATAATCCATGGTATACTAGCCACCAGTCTACAAGCAATTCCCAATCTAAAGACAAAGTCCCCCAACCTCATCTCTTATAACTTCACCCACTGCAACTATCCTAGGTTAACAACCTCAAGCACTATGATCAACATTGATTTAAAACGTATTAACAAGAGACTTGATCCAACCAAGGGGCGCCCTTGTGGATCGAATTTTGCCCTACTATATACAACTCGTTAGCAAGAAAATAAAAGAAAAGAACTAGTTTGCATTGGCGAATGGGAGTAGAACGAAGATAGATATATGGTATCATTGTTCTCTACTAGAAACAAGTCTACGTAATGGCATATGTTTATGTCAAATAGAAAATACAGTCTTACAATCTTAAATTTGGCCAGTCCCTAGAGGCTGCCTTGAAGTGTCTCCTGTGGCCCAAGCTTGGTAGTCCTTCACTAGCTGCATCACAATTACAGATACAGTTTTAAGCTCACGTAAACTTTCAGCTTGAACAGAAGAGGGAGAGAAAACAAGGATTTCTTATAAGTAAAACGCAAAAGTCAATTATATAATAGCAATGTAAATTGCAACATAAATCTAAAGAGTGGTTAACAGCCCTTTCATTGTCTCTATCTACAGATATAACCAAATAACCTAACATCAAAGGGTCAAGAAACATACTTTCAATGTTCTTAAACAACTTGGACAGGGCCTTTCCCCCACCAATATAACATAATATACAAGAATTATATAATCAAACATCACATTAATTTACATATACTAAAGTACATATGTATTGTATTGTGTATATATATAGACTTATAGAGTGACGATTTGATTTTTGCAGTTTATCAATTTTTAAAACCATAATGGCTTGATAAATTGCAGTTTATAAAAGACCAACCACATTAGTTAGAACTAAAAAACCCATAGTTAATTATGCAATTATTATACGACTAGGGCGCTTCTGTGGTTTTATGATTTTTTTAAACACCCTAATTGCTGCTCCACAGTCCACAGCAATTCATGTTCTAACAAAACATAAAGGTCAAAAAAGTAAATGACTAAAATGGACATAAAACACTATTTACTGAAAAACCCTTCCACTTATTCCAAGTCTCCTAATATCTCTTTCGGTGTTACTTCCAATACACAAAATTATGAAAAAGATCCTACAATGACATGCTCTGTTATGCCATGTTGCAAAAATAGAAAATTATTCACTTTCTTCATATTTCTTTCTTTACTTTCTTTTCTTTTTACCCCTTCTGTTTTTTTTTGCAAATTCCACCAACCTCCTTTTTCTATTCTTGAACAGAAGTATAATGCCTATGGGCATACTAAAAGTTCCCATAAAATACTAATCTAAAATTTTGATATGATTTATTACCTTTCTGTCCCTCTACTTTTTAGTCATTATTTATACTGCCCCCAATGAACAAAATTTTTAGACTCAGTGTCAGTGCTCTCAAATTCTTGCCAATATAATGATCAGGTTATACACTTGCAACTATCTACACCTCTCTCACGCTGACAAGTAAAGCTTTGATTAATTTAAAATTGATCCAAACCATTTGCTCACGGTTAATTGATATTGACTTCACACTGTTATTAGCAGTGCCGTAAAAATCAGCCTAGGTGGCTGCCGCCTAGGCCAAATGAAAAAGGGGTGAAATCGGTAGTTTAGGTGGTTGGCTGACTAGATTGATTAGCCGGCCAGGTCAACCGAGGGTTTTTTCTTTTTAATTAGGTTTTGTTTTGCTCAAAAAGACATAGTTTTAAGTGAAACAAAACCTAATATAGACACATGTACTACGGTACTAGAATTTATTTTAAATCAAAACAAAAACAAATTCAATGGTTTGAAGTGTTTACTATTTTTCTTGAGCTCATGCTCTGTTGTAAGTGGTAAAAGATTATTTCTAAAATTCAACATTCACCTTCATCTCAATTAAATTCAACCAGGACTTGCCAATTCAACTCAATAAAACAAGGTCTGTAATACAAAAATGTTGAAGAAATTGGTGGTAAAATAACACACCTGAGCCATAAACCGAGGAAGCATGATCCCGAGTATCTGGTTTAGGACCTGAGCTCCAGTTGATTCAATTGCTTGGACTGGAAGTGCTCGAAATGCAAAGGGAACTTCAATGTTAACCTGCATAAGCATACCAATTCACATATTTACTCTGATGTACTTGTTCTTCACATGAACAGTGGTCAGATTGTGGACATTACCTCAATTACTGCATCTGAAGTGAGTTTCTGCACTCCTGAGTCTCTTCGATTGCCATCATAGGATATTCTATTCACCATAGAAGCTGCATGCCCATATCAAATCAATGTCAAAGCACTCCTGAAAAGAATTACTTAATAAATTTCAGAATCAAAAAGTGCATAATCTGATTAGGAACTACTCCATACTTGTTTTTACTAGTTATTCAACGGACACTTCAAAAAAAAAAAAAAAAAAAAAAAAAAAAGAGAGAGAGAGAGACAAAGCCATGAGAAAGCCGCTTGATCTAACATTTAAAATGGCACAATTATTATTAGGGCCTAGGTAATTAGACTTATCACCATAAATTTTGTTAATTTCCAGTCATCTAGTGTTTTATACCCAGCCAAGCACTAGAATTCCATAAACCGCTAAAATTTAAGTTCTTCAAATCACATCTATATTCAAAAAATTCATTTGTCCTAGTGTAACCTGCAATATTAATTAGGAACTGACAAGAAAATCACACACGTGGTGAGATTTTCAGTGATGTTAATGCTGTTTGGAATTTGGAAATATTAATTTGGCATTGGAATTACAAGAGGAAACTTCAGGCACATAGGTAACTCATAGCACAGCCACACAGATTTCATTTTGATACAGATATTAATTATTTCGAGACCCAAAAGCAGACCTTAATGACGGTCCGGTGCATTGTTTAGATTAGATCAATTATTGCTCTTTATTAAAGAAGAAAACTTTTAACATTGAACATATGTAGAGATGGTAAAGGCAGGAAGGACTATACGACGAGCATGCTTGTTAATTGTTAAACAGACCATTTCCTTTCTCCGATCCAATAAACTCCTAGTAAGTTAATGTGAGAGAAATTAAGAATAGAGCAATCGAAATCAATGTGACTTTGTCAATGGTTAACTGGCAATAATGCATTAATGTGCCTATGTATAAACAATGTGTATATATTGCTACACTATAATTGCAGTATAGGAGTCAATTTTGCAGTCAGTGGAGGATAAATAAAACCAGAAATTTTCAACTGTCTATGCAATCGGTACTTTAAACGCAAGCAAATACGAGATCCACATGCAATCCAACACCATAACATTGCCAAAAAAAATAGTGCTTACCGTCAAACTTATCATTTTGAGCGACAACAATAGGTGAGCCCTCGAGCTGAGGAAAAAGCATAACTCTTAGGAATTAGAATGTATGAAACAATAAGAATTGAAGAAACTGGAAACTAATAGGGAGATGATAATCGATAACCATGTAGAGCAATATAATCAGCAATGCAATGCCAATACCTTACAAGACAAGAGGTTAATAGAGCATCCATCAGGCTGCTCCTCAACTCTCACCAGAAGAACAGGACACACTTCAAATGCGAAGAATTTAAACCTATACACATAACATCTGAAGGTATTATCATCCACCCGTTCGATCCTCTCAGCATCCAACACCGAGTACTGGCTCGCCGGCAAGCTCATATACTCCACTAACAAAACAAAACACACTCAAATTAAGTTAAAGCAAACCACTCATTAAGCTACATATATAGACTACTGTAACTGTAATCCACCGGAAACTATGAAGCAAAGTCTTACTCAGAGGTCTCTGAAGCTGCCGCACCGACACGGATTCCTTCCGGCGAGCAATGAATCGAACTTTCGGTGCTGCGTCGGCGGAAATGCGAAGCGATCCTCTCGGAGAATCGTAGGAGGGAGGAGACGTTAAGCTTAACAGAGCAACTGGTGGACAGACTTTAGGGTTTTTGAATCGGAATGAAACGTAACTCAAATTTGTTGTTGAAGATGAAGTAGCGGCTAAGCTCAACGCCATTTCCGATTGCTTCACTCCAATTGTTGGGAAAATGAGATATCAGAAACTGACCTTTTGACGAATTTCAATCCCTCACGGTTAACCTCTAGTGTCGAAGATGAGGTCAAGGATAAGCCAACGAGCGTTGTACGAAACGTCGACGTAGTAACTTCAATATTATTGGCGGTTCGCTGGCTAATGTACGCCGTTATGAAATTCTGACTGTTCTACCCGTGACGCAGAATTACAGATTTACAGCGATATGGCATCAGTACTGTACTGCCTGGTTTATAGCGCTTTTATCACGAGTAATTACAAATTACGCCGACAAATTGAACAAAGACAAGAACGAGTAAAAAATTCGTAAAATTAAGGCGAAAACGACGCAGAAATTGAGAATGCTGATCGATTGATTGATAGTCGATGGTAGATAACAGTACCGTATAATCCGAAATTAAACCCAAATCAAAGCTACTTTACAGCTATTAACCCTAATAGTTCGGATTATATCAAAAGAAAACACAGATTTTAGATTTCATCTAAGAACTTGTAAATTTGGTGACTGCTTTGGTGCCTTCAGAGACGGCGTGCTTTGCCAATTCGCCGGGAAGAACCAATCTCACGGCGGTCTGGATCTCACGGGAAGTGATGGTCGGCTTCTTGTTGTAGCGGGCCAAGCGAGATGCCTCTTGGGCGAGCTTCTCGAAGATATCATTGATGAAGCTGTTCATGATGCCCATGGCCTTGCTGGAGATCCCAATATCAGGATGAACTTGCTTCAGCACCTTGAAGATGTAGATCTTGTAGGTCTCCGACGACTTCTTCACCCTCTTCTTCTTCTTATCTCCGGCCGCCGCAGCTCCACCCTCCTTAGGGAGCTTCTTCCCGGCCTTGGGCTTCTTCTCCGCCGGAGCTTTCTCTGCCGGAACTTTCTCCGCCGCCGGCTTCTTCTCTGCCTTCGGTGCCATCTACGCTAGAGAGAGAACACAAAAATATTTCTGGAAGAGGAAGGATTGCTTTAGGTGAAGGGCTTTTTGCTAATTGAAAGGTACAGGTGATGAGAACTCGTGAATTGGGGTTCGTTTATATAGGATTTGCGAAGGTATTGTGATTGGTTGCTTTGGTGTAACGCGGATCGTTGTTGTTAGCCATTGATGAATTTCATCAATCAACGGTGTAGATTTGGTGGGAACCGAATGAGTTTCCCGAGATTCAAATTTAAATTTTATTTATTTTACTCCGTATATGAAAATTTAAATATTTTACTCCGTACTATATTTGATTGATATTTTTATCAATTTAATTTTTGTTCAAAATGGCAATGAAATTTTTTAATTCTAATTTAAATTTAAAAATATGTACACATAAAAAATAAACATAAAGAACATTTTAATACTTTTTTTCATACAACATTTGCTATCTCTACATATATTTTGCGAGTAATCTATACTCATATCGATTTCATTCATAGAGTTTGACTTTTACTCTAATAGGTGTTTGACCTTTGCAATTACATTATTGTGCTTACCAATTACGTAGTATTTCAATTTGTCAAGTTAAATTTAAAGAATGAAACTCTCATTGCATTGATCTAGTAAATGAGAAATATCAAGACTTGCTTCCAACGACAAGATAGAGATTTGATTTTCGCCACGAACATTTGAAGTTTTTATTTATATTGAGCTCCTTATATGTAGAAGCGTATAGTTTGGTGTTGAGTCAATAGCTATATTGGTCCAATTTACCTTATAATGAGTCCAACCTGTGTCAGACTGATTCTATTTACCTTCTCGTAGGCTTAACTTGGGATGGATTCATAAGCAAATTATATTGTAAGTGGATAATGATCAAGTAAACCCTCTAACTTTACCTAAACTGTTAATTAGGTTCTCAAACTTTTTAAATTTGCAATTATTATACGTATATAAATATGTCAATTTAGTTCATCCATGCCCAATTACCTTGTAGTGACCTGTAATACCAAGTCACTAAAAATTTCGACAGTTGTCCGGCAATAAAAATTGATGATGGAGACGAAGGCGTCGCCTGAGAAGGCGTGGCCATCTCCGGCGAATGGAAATAGCGACCAAACTGGATGCCATCTCTTAGGGACGGAGAAGACGACCAACCAGTTGTCATCCCCAATCAACGGATAAGGCGACTGGTTAATCACCATATCCAATCGATAGAGAAGGCGATTGGTTAATCGACATCTCCAATTGACTAACTCCCTGCTGATCGCCTCAATATGTTTGCCAAAGCGGTGCCACTTATCACCTCCCCAACTAACCAGCCGCAACCCACACCAAGCCAACCGTTCCTGCAATCACATGCCTCCTGACTTTTCCCACGCCTCCCTCACCACCCCACCACACCCCCATGTAGGAGCCATGCATTATCAAACTTGAACCCTCTTCTTCCCACCATCACTTGCGATTCATAGATATCCAATAATAAAGTTAATTGGTTATAAATGAGAGTCTATATATTAAAAACCTACATGCAACTCATGCCAACTCCTATCCGCCACCACCCTATCTAACCTATCTTCCACCCAGTTCATCGTCCATCTACCCATTCTCCCAAGTGAATGGATACCCATAAGCCTCCAATGCCTCACCAAAGCCATGCAGCAACTACGCCAGGTGAGGCCTCCCTTCGCTTGAGAGACCAAGTCATTCAAGTATCCAACTACTACCCAATGCAACTTTGACCTCTCCGTCAACCCCCTCAACAAGTTTTTTTTTTTTTTTTTTAATTTTTATTTTTTTTTTTTAATTATTTTGTTAGTACTATTGACTCGATTAAAATGTAGTATTTGTTATATACTTTTTTTATATGTGGGTTCGATCTTGTGACATTCCCTTAATGAGAGGGATAAATGTGACATTTGAACACAAGGTGCTTGGTCAAATAAAATTATAAGTAATTCCAATCAAGTATCGTTAGTCAAATTAGATACATAAAATGAGATGATATATATATTTTTTACTTAATTTTTCTTTATCACTCTTGGGGAAAAAATAGGTTATCCTATAGTATATACGAGTCGAATCTAACATGATTCAATTAAGAGTCAAAACAAATAAAGTTAAGAGTTAATGACCGATTTGGTCCATTGAATATAACAAAATTACTGATTTAATCATAAACTATTATCCTTATCAAATTAAGTCATCAATTTTGAAAATGTTATCCAAATTTTTTTCATTCCGCCAATTTAAGCCGTAAGATAATACCGCGTGACGAAATTAAATAAAAATTTTAAAGTTGAGTCCTTAATTTGATAACGATCATAGTAGAGTATAATTCAGTAGTTTCTTTATAATCGATTTTGACCAAATCGGTCATTTACTCCAAAGTTAATAAATGACCCATTGACGTTTAGCTAATTAGCTCTTTTCCCTCCACAGAAACCCTAAACCCCTTAAACGCCATTTTTTTGGGTGCTCTCTCCGTGGAAAGCTTCAATGGCTGTAAGTGCTCAATTGCCTCAATCTATTTCTCTTAATTTTGTAAACTTATTTATTCTTTGGCTTTATCAAAATTGTTGTTCTCTCTTGAAACAAAGTGCCAATTCGCTTTTAGTTCAAGACTTTCAGCTAAGTATCGACGTTGGAATTTACGATCTAAAATCAATAGCTGATTCATACCGCAATTTATCTCTTTTTATTTGTTAAAATGTTAATTGTTGTTTTTCACTTTTCACTTCAAATCGATGTGTAAAACCTCTGTCAATGTATTTCGAGTTCAATGAGAGTGTGGAAATGGATGTAGCTTGGATACTCGCCTTATTTATTTGTGCCTTCGTTTGATAGGGAGTAGGGACAAACTTGGATAGAAGTAGTACATCATTTCTAATTTGTAATTGTTTAATGAAAAATCCATATAGTTTGTGGTTTAGTTGAAATGAAGGTAGAAATTTGGCATTTTGGCCCAGCAAACACGGGATTTTGTTGACTAGATGTGTATGTCTAGTTGGTTTTCTGAAATCAATGGACTGGAAAGTCGAAACTAGTGGATTTTTCAAGCTGCAGTTGGTTGGGTAGTAAGCTGTAGTGTATTTGTCTGTGTATGTGGACTGGCAGAGAAAATTTATGCAGTTTTGGACTTTGGAAATCAATGGAATGGAAAGTGGAAACTTGTGGAATTTTTAGAGCTGCAGTTGGTTGGGTAGTAAAGTTGTAGTATATTTGTCTGTGTATATATACAGGCAGTGAAATTGTCTGCAGTATCAGATTTGATGTTTTTCTTAAATGTCTACTAAGTGTTTTGTTATGCCTCTATAGAAGCTGGTTAATCGCTAATGTGGTGTGCTTACATGGTTATTACAGACAGTACCAGTGAATCCCAAGCCTTTCCTGAACAACTTGACTGGAAAGCCTGTCATGGTGAAACTGAAGTGGGGAATGGAGTACAAAGGTATGTTTAAGAAAATTTTTGGTGTTGCTTTTGGGAAGACGTATGCTTCAAAGACTAATACTTTTTTTTCCCTTTCAGGATTTCTGGTTTCTGTGGATTCATATATGAACTTGCAGGTAATAAGATAAACCCAAATTTCTCATTTTTATTTGCATATAAAGTATCTAAAGATAATTGTAACTCTCGTTGTATTTCTCCCAAATCTTAGCACTTTTTGATAACAATTATTATTTTCATTCTTTTCAGCTGGCAAATGCAGAAGAATACATTGATGGACAAAGCACTGGAACACTTGGAGAAATCCTCATCAGGTAATTTTCATAATTGATATATTCGCTGTTGGATCCTTTGAACACGTAATGCCCTTGTCCTAGGATTATTCATGTTAACATTTGCACCATGTCAGTGAATGTCAAAAATTCAAAATGCAGTCTTATTTATGTTTTTCATTTTTCCTGTTGTGTGTGTGTGTGTGAGAGAGAGAGAGAGAGAGAGAGAGAGAGAGAGAGAATTTTCATTATTTTCATAGAGGTCTGCCACTCTTTTAGTTTTAGAAAATCTCTAGTAGCATGTACCTAATGCGTGCGTCTCTTTGCCGCGTAGCAAAAGAGATAAAATCAGTTCCTTTTAATTGCTTAGCAAAAATATACATTTTTCTATACTCTAGACTCTGCTTGAGTAGTTCTCTAGAATTGCTGAATTGTAGTTTTCGGTGCATCTCTAGAAATCAAACATTTATAAATTTTCTCAATCGGTTTGATTTCTATTTAAGGAAACATTACTCCTCTCACCTATCACGTATGCTACTGATCCCTGCAGCCTCAAATTATGACTACCATAGCCATTCTTGTGTGTTTTATAAAATCAAGTGCCATGTATTCCCTCATTGACATCAATTTCTTTCGGCTTCTACAGATGTAACAATGTCCTCTACCTTCGTGGGGTACCCGAGGATGAAGAGGTGGAAGATGCTGCTGAGTAGAACTAGGAAGTCCACTTCGTGCTGTAGTCATCATCTGGAGAGGCAACCCGAGTACAAGCTCATGTCAAACGATGCTTCAGCCTATCCTCAGAATTGCATCATGTATTGGGTTATTAACCACCTTGTGTGTAATTAGTTAATGACACTAATCTTTTTTAAGGCTGCCTTTTGCTGTAAAAGATTGTCGGATTATTTCTTTCAGGGATGGATGGATGATTAAGGTGCCAAAATATCCCAGTTATGCTGCAGAAGTTCATGTGAAGTATTCTGATTTTAATGCCAAATTTCAATTTGCATTTTTCAAGTAGCAATTAGCAATTAGCATTATGGTTTAAAAAAAAATCAAATTCAAATAATAATACAAGTCACAATAAACTTTAAAAATATAGAGATAGAGATAGAGCTATAATAATAAAATATAATTTATAAAATATAAATACACATAATAACTTCACACACAAATGTATAAATATACCTATCCACACAATTAATGCATTTATATTTGCTAATCTTATTTCTATCAAAATGCATAAATTGTGTGGTTAGATTCTGCTTTATATATATATATATATATATATATATATATATATATATATATATATATAAAGATAAAGATTTAAGAAGATAAAAAGATAAAATTGCATTATTTGTATCTTAGAGTTTTCCAAAT